ATAACGTAGTGATCGATATATTACGATTTTGGTTAGTTCGATGATAATCGATAATTTGATCTATATTGATTTCTTACTTATTATCGATAATAAGCGATTTATGATATATATTGCTAAATAACAAATTAATCGATGTTTAGCATTTAAATTTAATCAATATAAAACAATTAAGCATTATATATCGTTATAAATCTACTTGAAAAAATTCGTAATGAGTGATATTGCAGAAGTAGTAATATCCGGGAAGGGAAGTTTCAGGAAAAAAGATGTTGTTGGAAAAGGGAAGGTTGTTAGAAAAGAGAGGGTTATCAGGAAATGGAAGGTTGTCAGGACTAAGTAAAGTTGTTAGGAAAAGAAAGGTTGTCGGAGAAGAAAGAATTATTGGGAGAAAGGGTTGTTAGGGGAAGGGTAGATTGTTGGAAGAAGAGAAGGTTGTCGGGAAAAGAAAGGTTGTTGAAAAGTAATTATTATAGCTGATTTGTAAATTAATGGGATACTTGAAAATTTTGATTGTTTTCCAAAGCCCTTTGGTTTCGTTTAATAAACTATCTAAATCTTCAGAAACTACATCACTGTTTTTGGAAAATAGCGATGCTATTTTTAAAGATTTAAATGACAAGACCAAAGGTTTTGGAAAACGAGCAAACTTTTCAAGTATCCCAATAATTTTCAAATTAGTTGTGTTGGTGCATCACACTAGTTTGTTTATGTAAATCAAGCATAAGACAAGATTTATTTTATACTTTACATATAAACTTAGTTTTGGAAAAGTTTTGAAATTTTAATATAGTTTAGGAATTCCGGCATAGTTTTGAAATTTCAGTTTTTAGTTTTGGGCAAAGTGTTGAAGTTTCGGTTTTGGTCATTAGCACAAAATAGTTTCAGGTAGCATCATTAGTTACTAAGTTTATTATCTTGAATATTTTTAAAACCTTTTGTAAAATATGGCTTTCACTATAAGGATTTGGAGACATTTGGCTATTATTATCATTACAATCAACAGTTTTAATGCAAATATTTATATGTTGACTATATCCAATTCTTGAAGAAAATGTACAAGTACAGATTGGGCATATATAGCTAGATATTTTTAAAATGATAAGGTAATTTTTAAAGAAGAAAAAAGTTAAAAAAATTTTTAAAGTAAAGTAATTTTAAGGTAAAAAACTTTCAATTTTAAATTATTAAATTATGAATAATTATAAAGTTTTTTGTAAATATTCTAATTCAAATTTATTTTAGTATATACTACTTTTTATATGTGATTATATTAAGAAGGTAAGTTTATTTAAAAAAATTACAAAATAGGCCAAAGTTTTCTGCAAGTAGTTAAAACCTTCAGAAAGTTTAAATAAATTTGTATTATTCAATATTTTTGAAACATGTATTATACTTTTTAATTATATTTATAAATTTATATAAAAATATTTATTGTATACTTTAATAATTAATTTGCCATTATTATTTATAAGTATTGTTCATTAATTGAATAATTTTCAAAATTCATAATTATCTTTGTATAATATTAAAATATACTTAAATATGTAAAACTTAATTATTTTATATAAAAGATTAAACAACTGCATAATTTAGCATAAGATTACAGAAGTCTTTGTAAAAATTAAGCAAAATTAATAAAATTTTTTATGATACAAAAACACTTGAATATCTTAGCATGTTGGTTGAAGATCTAATCTGTATTTGTAATAGTTTAACAAACAATAGATATGCACATAGATGTCTTTGATAAATAAGCTAAAATAATTATGTGAAATTGTGTACGAAGTACTTTAAAAAAAATTTATGTTTTTTGTTATTATTTGTTTTGGAATAATTTAAATATTTATAACTAATTTTATAAAAATTAAATAATTTATTTTAAAACATATATAGTTTTGAAACTTTTGTAAAACTATAAAAAGTTTTATTTTTTCAGCCTAGTATAAGTAATAGTAGTGCTAAAAAGACAGAATTTTCTGCTATCCTTTTTGTTTTTTTTTTTTGTCATTTTTTCTTTTATATTCCCTTTTATATTTGTTTTTTTTCTCTTTATTTTTCTTTGTTTTTTCTTTTTCTTTTTATTTTTATCATTTTGGTTTTATTTGTGTTTTTTGTTATCTTACCCTATTTGTTGTATACCCCTTTGAAGAAGAAAAAATGTTAAGAAAAAAGCAATTTTGACAAAGCTAACAATAAGCTTTCAGTGATTTTTTCAGTGAGTCATCTAGTAAGTTAAATGCTGGAAAAAAGTGAATTATTGCTGTAGCAGATCACAATTGGGTACCATTATAAGCAGCCAAGTGAGTCTTTATTGAAGAGTAGAAGAGTGGAAGACATTGAGTTTATTGCAGGCTTTTTGTTCAGAAACTATGTTTTTAGATTATATACTCCTAATATAATAAAGGAAGGATTGCCAAATTAAAAATATATATATATATATATAAAAAGTTTTACAAACTTTCGAAGAAATTTTTAAGTTTGTAAATGGTTTTGTTAATATTCATTTTGTTGTAATATATTTAAAAACAGACAATGATACAATAATTATAGATATACTTAAGATTTACTAAGTAATATTATTATAGTTTGAACAATAATAAATATTTATGTAAATTTATAAAGCTAATTGCACATTAATGCATATAAATTAAATGTTTCTATAAATAGTTAATGCATGATTGGAGTTTGTTTGTTAAAAAATTTAAATTCAATTATCATTACATTTTTTCAAAGTTTATTGTAATTTATTTACATAATTAGATATCATTTATTATATTTTAATCTAAGATTGCATTTACTAATAATTTTTGATTACATTAGAAAAAATAAAATTTTTATAAAATAAAGCAATTTTTAAAAAGTAAAATTTTAAATCTTTCGCAATCAGGGTTGTTATTGGACAATGTCCAAATAAATTTAATTAGATTTTTGGACATTTGGATATTTGGACTATATCCAATTTGTCTAATTTATTTGAAGAATTTTTTGGGCTATTAGATATTAGACAATATCCAAAACTTTATAAAATTAATTAGATATATATCAAATTGCTTAATTGGACATATGAGGGTGAGTCAGTAGAAATGAGACAAATTTATTAGATAAATTTGTCCTATTTTTACTGACTCACCCTTATATGTCTAATTGTCCAATAACCTTATTGGATAAATTCAATGCTATTTGAAATTTTTATATATATATAAATATAGATTAGCAATTGCACAATTGATAATTCTATGAATTTGAATAATGTCTTTATTTTTGTTTCTATCAAATAATTATAATAATAAAATTTATTGTACAGGCATTAAATTTATTACTTTTCATTACTAATAATATTACTAAAAATATGTAGCTTATTCATTTATATATAATGCTAATTAGAACTTTTATGAACAAAGTATAAACCAAAGCTTATTGTGGTTTTTTTTTAACAACACTAAAATAATAAAGTTTAACTTTAAATTTTAATTGCAACAATATCTAGTTACATTTTATTTTTTTTGATAATCTATATATATTTTGAAAAATTTGTACTATATAGTTCAATTCTATTTAATCTATTTAATATAAATTTTAACACAATAAAATTTAGAGTTTGTCTTTGGTTACCTTAAGGTTTTTAAGTAGTTAAACTTATATACAATGTTTTTTTTTTATTTATACTTGCATTATCTATATATATATTATATAAATATTTAGCTTTATTTAATTAATAAATTCAGATACTTTGGAGATTCTAAATAGTTTTTATCCAAAAGTGTTACTAATTTTTATTTAGCATTTAATAAAACAGCAGAATGATTATTTTCTTAGAGATAGTAAAGTTTGTTAAAAAACCAAGTTGAACTTGGTTTAAAGGATAGTTTATAATACAAACTAGGTTTAGATTTTTAAACTCAGTTCAACTAGTTTAGACTTGGTTTGGCTATATAATATACTGTAATTGCTGCAAGGAGTGCAGTATTAATACAGAGAATTGATGCAAAAATAATAATGCAGAGTAGTAGGTACTATAAAACTATTATTATACAAAAATAACTTGATATTATTGTACAAAAATAGTTTGGCCATTATTGTACAAAAACAGTTTGGCTATTATTGCGCAAAAATGGTTTGGCCATTATTGCACAAAAACAAGTTGGCTGTTATTGCACAAAAACGGTTGAGCTGTTATAACCAATAGCTTAGCCATTATAACAAATAATAGTTTATCCATTATACATATTGAGAAAGTGGCATCTAGTATTTCTAATGCTATCTTCAAGGCTTCTTGAGTCTTGCTGTAGTGTAATTGGAGATTCGTTCACGATATTACGTGAGTTACGTGAGTCACATGAAATCATAGTATTGTAAGTAAATTTGAGTTAATCAAAGTTTAATTTATCAATATAAAAAGAGTTTTATATTACTAATAGTAACTTTCTCTTTTCGCTCTAAAAATCAATAATACGAATTTGTCAAAATCACTAGAATAAGGGAGTTTATATACGATGATTTATTTATAACTAATATTTATTAAAGAGAAACTTTGTAGTGCTAACTCTTCTACTCGAATTTCAAAGGCTAAAGTTCAACTAAAATATTTTATTTTAGAAGAAAAACTTCCTTTATAAGTATTTTATATATAATGAAATTCTTGAATCTAATTTACTTTCACTATCTAAATTATTTTTTTTCAAATGCTGAGCTAAAGATCACCTCTCTGTATATTGATTTAGTCAGTATGTATTAGTTGTATTATAAAATATCTTTTGAACTTCTCTATTTTATTTAATCATATTAATTTAGAGTATTTTTAAGCAGCTCTCTCAATATAATTGTGGATAATAAAGATATCGCTCAATTATTGAATTAATTAAATAATTCATATACTTTCTGTAAATTTGTATTGTATATATAGATTTTAAATTTGATAAATCAAAACGACATTATGAAAAAAATAGGTAGTTGTAATTATAGCTTTTTTTTTTGTTTGTTGCTTGTTTTTGATTTGATTTAAATAATAATCATAATAAATTTTTTTTAGCCATTTAGGTTGTTTAACAAACCTATTGAAGATACTTGAGAATATCTAAACATGAAATTATTTATTATATATTTAAGATCTGATACTTACTATTACATAGTATTAACTTCATTTCATTAATGTTAGCTTGGTTGATAAAATATTAACAGAAGACTTTAATATTTATAATGCAACTATATTAATTTATTAGGATTTATAATTTAGTGCAGGGTGCACTGCAGTGCACCCCTTTAAATCTAATAATAAGGTTAGTTAAGGTTAGGGTTAGGGTTAGAGTTAGGGTTAGAGTTTAGATTAGGGTTAGGTAAAATTGCAAGAGAAGCATTTTTACTTAGTTACATGACAAGGGTTACTCTAGTAAAATTTTGAGAT